CCCCCAGGGCTGGCAGCGAGCACCTTTCCCCAGGGTGGGCTGGATCCTGCAGCGCCAGGGCTGGCTGGGTGCAGCTGAGCGATGTGCGGAGACGAAAGCTTCCCTACCCACGGGTGGGGATCCAGGCCATCTAGTGGGGAGAAGAGTTAACAGCCAAGGGAAGCTCCCGTTCCTGAGACACGGCCTCCGCGTCTGCTGACAGCAGAATTGCAGGTAAATAATTTGTCTCACACTCAGGGATGAACAGGAGAAGGCCAGTGGGTGTACAAGCACCCGGCTGTACTCACGGTGCTGGCATTCAGACCGCGCTGCTATCGGGAGGCCTTTGCAGAAATAAGCTGGTTTTGTTCCTTCGCTTCAAACAAATGGCCCTGCTGGTGTGAAAAGGAAGCCAGGCTGTCACAGGTACCCTTTCCTCACCGTCTGTATCACGTTAGTTCTACAAACTCTTCTATTGCACTTAGTCTGTGCCCTACAGAGGAGCTCAGCTTGTAAGGGCTGCTCCATAAGTCCACGTGGCTGGCTGTACACTGCCTTGTCTTCACTGGCCACGGGGAGCTGCCGAACATCACACTGAGGTTAGCATCTGTCCTTACTGAAGCCCGATTCCTAACTTTTATCCCTCGTTTTTAAATTCGGAGGTGCCTATAGGAGCGCTCTATGCTAAATATCATGAGTTCAGTTTCGGTTCCTAAAATAGCTCCTCCCCACCCCCCCGCAATTTGATGAGTGCTCTTATAATAAACTCATTGAAACGTTGTTCCAAAAGGCAGAGCTTTCACGGGAACAGCACTCGGTCCAACGTAACAAAGATCTATATTAAGATCCATAGATTGAACCTGGATGAAACGCAGTCGCTGCTGGCAGCAGAGGATGCCCCCTGCGCCGCTGTGCCGAGACGCCCGCTGCAGGTGGATCCGCCACCCAGCTGCATCGCCCCGACAGCAGCCCCCGGGGAAATGCTGCTGCTGGGAGGGAGGGGAGACTGCTGTTTTCAGGGGTTGTAAGGAAAAAAAAAATCAGCTGTTCTAACTCTTTTCTCTCCAGTTGGTGTCATTATTGAGGAGCCTTACTGGACTTGATGGTGGGCTCCTGCTGTTGGAGGACAGGGCTGGCTTTGGCCACCAGCTGCTCCAAGCATGGTAGGGAGCTCTGAGCTGGTAATGCTTGGATCCAGAGAGGACCCATCATCCAGAGCAGTTAAAACCTTGGAAATCTGGGTTTGGGGCCTGCTTGGGCCCAGGAGGATCCTTCCTTGCACTGCCAGGAGGGTAGTGCCACTAACACAGGGTGGGGAGAGACATCAGAGGAGGTGTCATCACCCCCATGAAGGGCAAAATCAGTTTTGTTGGTGCTGCTGATGCTCTTCTAGGATGTATGGGCTTCCCATGTGATAGGGCAGCCTCCTGGGGCAGGCCTGGCCCTGCAGCCAGCGATCGATGTGCCCTGTAGCAGGGCAGGCACCATTCACATGGGTGAAACAGAGAGAGGAGGATGGAAGAGGATGCTTACTGACAGCTGATTGCATGAATGCATTTAAGCTGTGATCCCATTTCTAATAAAAGGTATCTCCTGACTCTGTTTTTCAGCAAAAACCGAATCAAACAGGATGTGAATCTCACCCTTGAGCACTAACCTGCTGACATTACCCCACCATTAGTCCCACCACTGTCCGGGTGGACAGTTTGGGGAAGAGGCTTGATTAAGCATACCTAGCCAGCCCCAGTACGACTAACTGCAAATATTGCTTAACAATCACAACATTTTCCTCCCACAATGTTTGATTCCTAGGTTAATGAATGCTGGTGGTTACCTTACAATTGCACAATTTAAATATATGTTCCCTTGTCCACTCCACTGTTTGTGAGGGGGGTGGGACATAGTGAAAACCGGGGGAGCTGCATTTGCTGCTCTGTTGTTATTGTAGCCTTTCACAGTTTTGAAGACAGTCTTAGACCATTTAGATCAGTGAGCTCAGCTGTGTGGGAATTTCCCCATGAACTGGTTCCCTCACAGGCTGTTTCACATTCGTGGATTACCACAATCCTAGAGAATATAAGACCTGGCTAACAAGGTCATATATTCAGGAAATTTCCAAGAGGATTTCTGGAAACTGTGTGATAGATGTGCGATCCTCGCCTGTGCAGTAGAATTGACCCTATTGCTCATTTCTGACTTCACAATATATAAAGAAAACCAAATTATACAAAGCGCTGGAAATAAAAGCAAACTACATTCCCTGCTTACACAAATTCCTTAAGCACCTGCATTATTCAAAGCGTGTGTGTCATCCTGCTGGCTGCAATGCATTTGCCTAGATTTCAGCTCATTTTGCTTCACTGTGTGTTTCTGGAAGCCAGGCATCCCACTAAGTATCTGACAGAGTGATTTTCTGCTGCGGTGAGACTCCTGTCGTACTGACCACACGGGCTTTAAACGCATCACTTGCTTTGCTGCTGCCACCAAGAGAATCGCACCTCTGAAGGACTAACATCACTTTGGGAAGCTGAACCACATGTCTGAGTTATTCACGCCGGAGTTCCTGTGAAAAACGAACACCTTTTCCCCCTGAGCACACTGAGGATTTCTATGATTTGGCAAGCTGTGCATCGTTTGCTACAGCCCCGCACGTCCCTCCCCTGCCAGCACCTGTCAGGGCTGCCCTGGGTCTCCCTGCAGTGATCAGGGGCTGGCTGTGGGGCTGTGTGGCAGGGATGTCCCCCTGGCTCTCACCCCGTGGGACAGCTGTCTGGGAGCACAGCCAGCCACAAGCAGCGTGCAGGCACATCTCCTCCTTTGGGAGCTCCAGCTCCTGCACGCGCTGCTGGGCCCTCAGGAAGCTTCTGACAAAATTTCCTCCAAAACAGCAGAAAGGAGGCAGGATACACTCCTTCACCTTCGCTGGCTGTTCCCCAAACATCCTCGTGTAATAAAGCTACTGATAGTGCAGCCTTGCCTCCCAGGACAGAGACACAAAGCCAGTCGCACAGCCGCGGTGCCAACAATAGCTAATAAAACCTGGAGGCAGCGTAGGTGTCTCGTTGCAGGATGGAGGCGGGGGAAGCACTTGCTCTGCGCCTGCTGGTGGAGGTGCCCTCTGAGAAATCCTCGCTGAGTGGAGCCGAGACATCTGCACATCTGTGATGCTGAACGGGGGTGGTAGCGGACGGCTTGGAGGTCTGCTGAGGTTTGGCAGAGGGTTTGCAATGCTGGGCATGCCCTGCTTCCCACCAAAGGTCATGGCTTCTGGCTGAGAGTGCTGCTGGCCTCATTTCTGGCACAGCTCAAGCATCGTTCATGCTTCTGCTGTTCTGGTCCAGCCAGGAGAGCCCAGGCTACTTTACATCTCTGAGGAATGTATAGCAAAATAAAGGAGCTTATGGCCCCTGTTGCTTAGAGGTGCACATATAAATTGTCCTTACAGGGCATGGCTTTGGTAGCGGGGTGGCTGCAGTGAAGGCCTCTGTGAGCAGAGCCCAGCAGCTGCTCCACATTAGACCAGAGCCAGCTGCAGGTGGCTCCAAAAAGAAAATGTCACTGGCCAGAGCTGGGCCAGTGAGCGATGCTGGTTGGGCCTCTGTGAGAGCAAGAAAAGGTAAAAAAACCACTGCCCAACAGCAGCTGGGAGAGAGGAGTGAGGCTGCAGCCTTGCAGCCCTCAGGTGAGTGCAGCAGGAGGGCCAGAGGTGCTCCAGGCAGGCAGCAGCAGTTCCCTGTGGCCTGTGGAGAGGCCCCTGGTGGAGCAGGCTGTCCCCCTGCAGCCCATGGGTCCCACATGGAGCAGATCTCCACGCTGCAGCCCCCCGGTGGGTGGAGGAGCCCCCGGTGGAGCAAATGGATGTGGCCTGGAGGAGGCTGCGGCCCATGGAGAGCCCCCGCAGGAGCAGGCCCCGGGCCGGAGCTGCAGCCCCGTGGAGAGGAGCCCACGCAGGAGCAGGGGCTCTGGGGGGAGCTGCTGCCTGTGGGGGACCCGTGCTGGAGCAGTTTGCTCCTGGGGGATGGATGGACCCCGTGGGACAGAGCCGTGTGGGAACAGCGCTTGAAATACTGCAGTGCCTCTTGCTTACTCTATTATTAACTGGCAATAAATTGAATTAATCTTCTGCAATCCAAGTCTGTTTTGTCCGTGATGGTAACTGCTGAAGTATCTCCCTGCCCTTATCACAGCCCACAAGCTGTTTCATCACATTTTCTTCCCCAGTCTTGTTGAGAAGACAGAGTGGGAGAGCAGCAAGGTGGGCACCTGGGGTCCCACCAAGGTCAACCCCCCACAGCGTAGCACCCCCAGCCTCTGCTGATCTGGATGACCGGGCAGCTGGGGTAGCTCCCAGCTTTTGGCTGAGGCTGGCCTGGCATCAGTCCCTTCTGATGCAACATGCTGCTTCAGTGGGTCATGCTTTAATGACCCTTGGGAAGGAGTCTGTGGGAAGTAGCTGGGACTCTTCAGGGCAGGAACCAGGCCTGGGCAGCAGCACTGACCAGGCAGGGCAGGTCTGGCCACCCTGCAAGATTTGTCTTTCCATCTGCCTTCCCAAAATGCCCTGTCACCTGGGGGGACCCCTGCAGCCCCTGCCTCAGAGGTGCACCCATATGCTATCCACCGGAGTGCCCAGCCATGGCTCTTTTGCTTTGTTACCTCGTCACTGTCGAAAAGCTTGAATATAGTGATGGTTTCCACGGTGCAAAGGCATTCATTTAATAGGGAAGGCCTGGTGTAAGTTTAGATTTTTTAACTCCAGTTGCTTTTTTTTTTTTTTTTTTTTTTTTTTTATGAGTATGCATTATAATGCTCAGAGGGGTAGGGAAAGCCATCTTTGGGATTTACACAAAAACCAGCACACCCTACTCCGGATTTGTTAAAGAAATTTCTTTTTTTCTCCTTTTCAGTCAGTTGGCCTGCATGCTCTAGCCAGTGCAAAAGTGAAATTGTCATTGTTTTCATCAAGCTTCTGAAATGCCACGCTAAAATACCAACCCAGTAAACTCGTGGGGTGATCCTAATTGTGCTGGCACAAGCATAATTTAATTCAGATTGCTATAACAACAAACAGTGTCCATGCTCACTGTAATCACGTTAAGGCCGATACACGAAATAATTAGCATCTTTCTGTTTGGTAAATAGAGGTCCGCCGCAGGTCAGCCTCAACGAGGACACCGCATTGTTAGAAGATGAGGCCTTTAAAGCTTCTGCAGAACAGGTATTTGGAAAATAGAGCTGCTCTAAAAAACACAAAAGGAAGACTTCATTACCAAGGAAGCACCCCCACTTGCCTCTTACTTAGTTTTTGTTCCGTTTTCTGAAGAAAAATAGTAATTCATTTATTCAAGCTCAGGGAATCAAAGGAAACACCACACAATACAAGCAGCATTTGCTGAGTTTCATTGTATGTCCAAGTGTCACCTGACAGACTTCCCGAAAGCCAAGGATGTCTTCTTGCAGGCCCAAAGCTGACAAAACGCAAACAGTTTGTTTATTTATTAGACATTTCTGTGGTCACCGGGCCTGAGGCAGACTTGCCAGGTATTTAAGCTCCATGAGAAGATTGAGTAGTTCAGAGAAGTAGAAGCACGCTTCCAAAAGCCAGTCAATAACTTACAGGTCTGGTCTCTGGCCTCTAAGTCATTTCTGCAAAGGTCTTTGTTACTTATATCCAAAAAAGTAGCATCCACATATTTTAAAGCTTGCAGATTTTTGTTTTTTATTTATTTTTTAACATATCTTTTAATAAAGGTATGGATGCTACCCAGTGCTATGGAGGTGAAGGAATGTTTTCTATTTATTCAGAGGCAATTGGTGCTTTCCAGCGAAAAATGACCCCGCTTCATAATTGCAGACTTTTTGCACACACGCAAGTCATTGCATTTGACATTTTCAGCATTTTGTAGCAGTGCCAGACAAATCATTATCCCTGCAGATTTGTTCTAAAATTGAGAGAGCATCTGAAGCATTTTTACCTTGCATTTATGATAAGCAGAAAATGTTGGTTAGTGATTTTAACAAAGTGTCATCAATTAAATGGCTTGAAATTTTCTGGAAACTCTTACAGAAACCTGCATTTAGGCCCGCTAGGCACAAACAATGACATTTCAGCTGTTTCTCGTCAGCCTACTATGCATATCTGCTTCAGAGCAACAAGGTGGGTCTGATCCAGCAGATTAAAGAGGCAGCTTGTGCAGTTATAGGGAATTGTATACATTAACCGCAGCAACCTGTAGGCCAGCCTGGCAGAGCACAGAGCTCAGGACAGTTCAAATAGCATTTATGATGTGTCTTTCTGGATCATGGAGGAAGCTCTTTTCTCTTAGGAAGGACAAGTTCATGGGCAAGGGGAGTCCCTGGGAGTCACAGCACCCTTGGGCAGGAACTGGTGCAGGCAAATGCCCCCAAAGCTGTCCCAAAACAGTGGTGGCTGGGCAAGGAGCTGGCCAAGGGCTGCGAAGGGCTGCGTGGGCAGCAGGAGCCCCAGCAAGAGCTGGTGCCAGCTGACTTTCACAGGGGAGAAAACGGCCAAATGTTCGTTAGCATGATCCAGGTTAGAATTTGCTGAAATATTTAATGTAGGCAGTCATTTTAAGCTGCTGGGGACAAAACCCAGATGAGGGACTCTGGGTTTGCTTACATGTCTCCTTCCAGAGTGATGTCCCTCATCAGCGCAGTGCTGCTGAAGCGTCCAAGTTTCTTTGAAAATTTCAGGCATGTTTCCCTTATCCTTCACTCTTCATACCCTTCTTCTTCTTCAAAATTCACAGAAAATAATATTTTATTGATCTTTTTTCTTTTCTATTAAAAAAAGAAAAGCTGTCGATTTACCCAACTGCTTTACCGCTTTAAAATGTTATTTTTGCCGACACTCACACCGATGCTGGCCGATGTGTTTCTTTTTCTGGCCTTTTATCGCCGATTAGCAGAATTCCGGTAATTCCCGCCTGCTGCCAGCAGAGGTCAGAACATCCGCAGCGTGCGGGAGTTAGAGGGGAAAAACTGTCCCTGCTGTTTCGGCAGAATTGGGCCTTCAAACGCACCGGGCAGAAGATTCCCTTCGTGAATTATCTCAAGCTCCAAGACCATGATGGGTCCCCGTGATGGGGACTTTCTCAGATCTTGCTCAGAAGTGGACACGTTGGAACAGCAGCCAGAATGTTACGGGGTTGCTGAATAAACCCCTCAAATAAAAAGCACGGGAGTGGGTTACCTGATGGGGTGCCCCCACAACCAGGCTTCAAATTTTGGGCAGTATGAGAAGATCTTCGAGTTGTCTGCCTCTCTGAAGGAAAAGGTCTTAAGGCATACAAGGAGTTCAGACACATTTATCAGCAACAAGTCATGCAATTAGCACAATTTTCCTCCATGGTGTTTGTGGTCAGAGTAATTCTGCATCCTTTACCCTGCGAAACTAAAGAGAAGATGGTCTTTTTCTCCTCTCCTTGAGTCTTTCTGCTGCTTGTGTGACATCCTCTCACCGACCTCTTGCTCCTCAGAGCTGTCCCTGAGCCCCTGGGGGTGCTGGCAGCCGGCAGGGTGAGTGACAGGAGAGCTGTGCCAAGACCTTGAGGTCCTCCAGGCCTGCTCGCACGCCAGGAGGGATGCGCAGATCCAACGGGCTTGGGAGAGCTGGGAGGGAGGTCAGGCCTGGCAGAATGACACGCACCCCCTGCCCAAACCCTTTTCTTCAAAAATCCTGTTCTGTGTTCTGAAGTGAGCCAGACCTGAAAAGCAGATGTGGAAGAGATGATCTCCCAGAGCAGTTACTGCAAGGCTTCCTATAGACACTGCGCTGCAGTTTTTCAGGAATACAGGTCACATCTCCTCATCAGGCGCTCTCCGGTGTGGTCAGGACTTCTGTTATTAACTTGTACATTGCAGTTGTGCTTTCCCCTGCCTGTTGTACAGCAGTCAGACATCCTACTCATTTGTACCATACAGTGCCTGAATGTCACAACAAGCTAGGACACTTTTGGAGAAATGAAAACACCTCATGTTTTGCACATTTATTGAAGCCAAAGCCTTCTGTCAGTACAACACGTGGTGTCACCCAAACTTCATCGGGAAGGGGCGAGGGCTCCCTGGACAGGACCACCCAGGAGAAGAGGAGGGAGCATGCGAGATGGCACCCAGCATTTCAGCTGAGAAGCAGAGATGTTTGTTCTGAAAACAGCCACGCTGGAAAAAGCCCACTGCACAAAGAAACACTCGGGAGGCTTGGTTGGGCTCCAGGTGAGAAGGCGAGTAGGTCTGCAGAGACACCTGGCCCCGGTGCCCTCCAGGACCTGCTGCACACAACACGGTGCAACACGAGGAGACAGGGCAGGAGGGTGGGGGAACACCATCAGTATTCGTGCTGAGTACCGGCTGGCTCCCTCCCCAGTAAAATGACAGGATTTCTGCAACTGAGCAGCATGTTGCTATGAAAAACTGCTTGCAGCTCTATTCAAAGAAAAAATCGGGATGAAGTCCATGGGAAGATCCCCTTCCTCTTTCAGCAGGGAAAAAAAAAAGTGTAATTCTCCCTTCATGTAACTTCAAAACCGCGTGCAGCAGTGACTGAAGTAGTTCATCACAGCTCTCCTGCAAGAGGCAGGAATGCAGATTACACACACACGTCTTACCAGAAAGCAGGCCAACAGCCTGGCTTACACTTCAGTGAAAGTGTTTTGTATCATTCATCAACGATAAGCTTTCAGAAATGTCTGAAATAGTGCTATTGTCATACTGGCCCTTACTGCCCTTCTGTTGGGACTGTTTTTTTTTTTTCCAAGAGTAACTAAAATAAGCATTTCTTTAAAAAGGTAGCAAAAATCTATTGTGGAGAATTTTTACTTGTTAAGTTGCCTTTTGAAGAAGTTTCTTTTCAATTCCTGAAAGTTACTGGCACATATATGACCTAGATGGGGATTTGCCTCCTTTTATGTAGATATATTTTTTCTTTTGTTACATAGCAAGGGGTTTCTAAAGCATTACTGACAGAGGATTTCATCCTCTCTCCTGCCCTCCTTATGTTCCAAGGGCTACTCAAGAAAAATCAGGAAAGCAAACTTGATTAGGTTCCTTTAATGGATGTCCTCTTGTTTTTTTTTTCTGCGACAAGAATTAAAGAAAAAAATCAGTTTCCTTTCCTCCTAATCATTCAGTTTTCCACAGCTGTTATCTTTCCTTCAGCCCAGTCCTCCTGCTGCCCTGATCTCTGTGCAGGAAATCCATTCCCTATAATTTTTTCAGGGCCTTTTTAACTCCACCCATAGGAATCGGCCTCCAAGGCTGCTCGAGGGTGCCCCAGGCAGTGGTGGAGGCTGCCGGGAAGGCAGGGGAAGGCAGAGCTGTGCTTCAGAGCCATTGTTCCTCCACTTGTCTCTCCCGTGCTCCCGAAGGGCAGACGTTGCCCTTCCCACGGTGAGAGTTGTTTAATCCTGGAGAAGTAACGCATGAGGACACACGGGGGATGCACGTGTTGTCCACCCTCCCCTGCTTCATCGCCTGCCCCAGTCTGAGGTTGTCTTCTCCTCTGTAATTAGGTTCAGTAGCTCCTGGAAAACGAGCTGAGATAGAGAGCTGGAGCTTGGAGACACCTGAGGTCAGCTAAGGTGATGAGGCTCCAGTGGCACTGCTGCAGGAGGAATGCTCCCCGCGCATTTTCACCCTTTTAGCAAATCCTTGCGGGGAAGGGCTTGGCTTTAAAGACAGAAAAATTTGTGTTAGAAGAGAAGGCGCGAGGAAGCTGCTTTCAGCAGACAGCAGATGCTTTCTCGCTCAAATGAGAGACCCGTGTTTCCCTGCAGGTCTCTGTGCTGACTCTCCTGCTTAATATAGCTCTTCGCTTTTAATTTATGTGCTGGCAAATGTGCCTTACTGCAGTTTCAAACCAAAATCTCCTTATGATGCACATACGTGTGTATGTGCACACTCACACGAACTTTAGTAACTCACTGCTTGCTCCTAGTTTGCATATATGGAAGAAAAACAGCTCTGGAAGACGGGTATTCCTCTCTCTGGAAAAGAGCTTTGGAAGCTTATTTTGGTGGGTGTTGCTCTCAGTTTTTACCTGAGGTGACAACTGGGAGCTCTGAGCAGACACTGCTGGCAACGTGGCAGCCAGCGATGGGCCTCCAAGTAGCTTTCCTTGGCTTCAGGATGCTTTTTGGCAGCCGGAGAGGGAAGCTCTAGGGTGACGGCTGTGGGAGACCAGGCTCCAGCAGCAAGCTCCCTAGCGATTCCATGTGCAGGGGACAAAATATTTCACCTTTCCGACAGCAGCCCTGCTCACACTCTGGCACACACAGCTGAGTGAGGTGATTCCCCCATGTGTGGTTCCCAGCAGCAGCCAGGGTAGCATGAGAGGAGGCGGCACAGGGTTGTGCAACCAGAATGCGACGACACCTGACGGTCTCAATTCCACCTTCATCCCACAGCCTGCTTCCAAGCAGGGCATTCACACAGAGGCTCGCAGCTGTCTGAAAGGGGGGTTGTTTGCTTTGGGTGGAGATGTATTTCCAAGAAGTCAGCATGGTGAAGGAGTTTCCCGCCAGCCGTTAATCTGACATTTTGCTCAGATTTTAGTAACAGTAGCCATGGGGCCCGACAGTAAAGCCAGGGTATAGCTCCCATCCCAGCTTCTATACTGGGGGCACAGTCTCTGCTAGACCAGAACATCAGCAGCTCAGTGATGGCACAATCCTGGGGTAGAGAAGGCTGGGAAGCCTTAGGGACACCTCATAAAATACACTGATGCTTCCTACAGCTAAGCAATAACATCATACCATGACCTGAGGATTTCCACGCTGGCACCTCTGCCCTCCCATTTTGACCACTAAATGAGATTAAATGTTCACTCATGAATTTCAATGGTGAAGCTAACCACCTTGTTCTGAGGAGGTTGCAGAGAATTTGATTAGCAGAGGAACAAGGTGATATGAAAAGGGAGGCTCACAGTCAATTAAGTGAGTGCATCCATAAGCTCTCTGCATGCCTTAGAAATCAACATACAATGAGAAACCTCTACATGACTGAAATTAAAGCTCATAAGGGTGAAAACACCTAGGCAAGCAGTGGGATAAACAAAAAGAAGTGGGCAATGGAAGAGAAAAAGTAAAGGGATAGACAAAAGGGATAAGAGACACATCAAGTGCTGGCAGCTGATTCCATAAAAAAAACAAAAACAACAAACTTCATTTCTGGAATAACAAACTTATCCAGAGATCTCCGCACCTTGGGAGCTTCTGTTTTTCTTTGTTTGGAAACATTTATATAGCTGTGGCATAGTCATGAAAATGTTTATAAATCCAAAGCTTCATGAATCTGCAGGAGATGTAAATCATTTGTCATCTGCTATTTGCTACTCTCCTATAAAAATGCCAATCATCCAAGCAGGGTTTGGCTAGGGTAGCCAAATTCAAAAGAAAATACTGAATAAGGGCTAAATCAGGAACTGACAGCCAAGACAATCTGCTTTCCCCGAACACATGCTTTTCCTTAAGAGAGGCCAAGGTGACCTAATGTCTGGGCATTATAGATCTCAACAGTATGGGCAAGAAGCCTCCCTTCACTTAAGTCAGCTTTACCGTACCTTGCAGTCTGCCTGGCGCTGATGCCTTGGCTCTTTGCTGCTCCTGCTTCTCCCCCTTTCCTTGAAGTGCACCTGGGCAGCGGTGAAACGTTCTTCAGGGAGAAAAGGACAAAACAGCAGTTCCTTAATCTCATGAGTGAAAATAGGAAAACGCAACAAGCATCCACTCCCTACCCTCATCTCTCATATGATTTTTGATGCAGTTTTTGGAAAAGAATATTGAAAAACCTTGTTGGTGTGTTTGAGGCGGACGATAGAGCCATGGCACCCCTCTGCTCAGAGCACGTGAAGCTCTGCAGTCCCATCCCAGCACGTGGCTGGGGCACCTGGCATGAGCCTGGCACCTCTGCCCAGCCGTGGGGCTCAGCCGTCCCTTGGGTTTGTGCTTGTCACCCAGGGCCTGCGTGCATCGCAGCCACACACTGCGCTGCAGTGTGACAGGTCTGGCTGGAGTGTCCTGGTTCACAACCCACATCCCTCGGGCCCTCGCTGTCCCCAGAGGCTGTCAGGGTGGGAGGGAGAAAACACTGAATTTTAAGCTGAAATAGCACCAGAGATACATTTGCTTCAGAGCTGTGCTGGGCTTTGTTAGCCTGCAAACATCCTAAACTGCTAGGAAAATGTTGGTTGTGTGGCAGATGGCAGCCCTAGGATTGGCGCTTGAGGAGGGAGATGAAGGTGTCTGGATACAATGTGCTGCTAAGAGAAACAGCACAGCCACAGCAGTAGCTGAAAGAAAAGCTTTTTGGGAGGTCCAGCTGCTAATATAGGTGGAAAGGGTCAGTGTGAGGAGAGGTGGAAAGAAGCCCCATTTACTTTCTTAAGAGAGGCAGAAACATGGTATGGAATGGGAGGTCAGCTTGGCAGTTGCTGCACTCCAGGACTTTCTGCTTTACCAATGAGACCCTTCTGACAAAAATGCTGGTGGTGCCTGCAATGCTCCCGCCACCATTTGGCAGCAAGAATTCAGCTTTTGACAGATTCAGTTATATCTTGTGGTTTATCTGGCTTTTACAACACTTGGCATAGCTGGAGGATAAGGTGGCAGGTCTCAGGAGCCCCTTTGATTCACAATAGACAAAGTGTAGGATCTTACTTCCACAGTTTAATGTGGATTCCCACAGCAATACTTCCAATTCAGATCCCTGCATCATCATGCAGTCAAGCTAAATGTACATTAAAATATTATGCCATGGAAGTATATTAGCAGTAATTGCTGTTAAATGAGGCACGAACATTTAAAGAAAACTATTTTTGAGAGAAAAAAAAAACCAAAAACACAAGAATGAAACTCCCGAGTGGTTAAAGAATTTATATAGCACAGAACAATGCTCTCAATTAGACGACAGGTTCATCTGTGACAGAGCTATCCTCAGGTCCCCGTCACACCTCCCCGGGTATGCAGGACTCTGAGGAGCAGCACCAGTTACCAATGGCTGCCTGATGCTCTCTGTGCAAGGACACACCGCTGATACACTCACATGAAGTATCACAATAAAAATAAGGCAGACAAAAAAACAACAACAGCAGCAAAAACAAAACAAAAAAACCTTACTGAAGACTTCCTATCCCCCCAGATCCTAAACAGGATGTTTATGAGAATTTTTGCAGAAAGGAAAACTGCAAATAATTGATGTTGTTGTCACCTTCTTTTTTAATTTTGCATTTCTTTTTTCTTTGCTTATTTGAAAAATAGATGCAATAAGTTCTATTTCTTTAAGGATCATGATTAGTTGTTTTAGCAAAAGAATTACACTCATATGCCAGGACCCCAGCGTGCTAGGTCTGGAGTGACCTCACTCCAACTATACGGTCCAAGCGATGAACAGAAAATGCCAGAAGGGAACGGATGGTAAGAGGTTTTTAGGAGCTAATTCTTTTCAACCCTACTGTCTTGGTGGAAAAGTCCAGAATATTCTGGCCGTGCAACATGAGAAGAATGCGAACTGACATTCTTCTTTTGGACAGCCAATTTACACTTCTAGTCAGTAGGAAAGACCAAAAAACCACTCACAAACAAACAAACTAAACCAAACCAAAAAACAACCAACAAACCAATTTAAAAAATTCTGAGAAGTTTCAGTGTTTTGTTGTTGTTTGTTTTGTTTTTCCTCTCAGAATCATTTCTGGACTTCTGTCTGAATTATTCTGATTTTGCCAAGTCCTGCTTGCACTGCAGAAAGCACTCAGCCCTGTGGTGTCTGTGTTTCTGCTGACTGAGCAATGAGCTAAGACGGACACCAATTTTCCTGAGAGATTATTGTAGAGCTGTTTAAAAAAGCACCCCTGAATTTGTCTTGTATAAGGTACAATGAAATAAGCATGGTATTATTTGAAAACTGATTTTTGAAAGAGTTTCTTCATAATAAAAGTGAATGATTCACTTGTGGGTGTTCATAACTGTGAGGGTGGCCATTTCTGAGTGATCGGATCTGTGGTAACTGGCACATTGCATACACAGCAGTCTCTGCCATACAGTCATAGGAATTAGGATGACTGCCTATTCCTCTACCTCACCCAGGTAACAACATAATTCCTGGCTGACAGTTCGCTCACTGACCCTTAAAATCCCTGAAGGTGAAACTCCATGGCAGCTTGAGGCAGCCATTTCAAACGCTGTTACCCCTCTAGCTACTTCATCAGAGAGGAGAGGAGAGGCTTTTCTCATGCCACAGACGTGGAGGTGTGGTGGGCTGCAGCAGCCACACACACCCAGCCACTTGCTTGCCCTCGCCAGTGGGAAGGGAAGAAATAAGGAAAACCAGAACCAGGAAAGTGTTGGGTGGAAATAAAGAGCAGCAGAACACTTACTGTTGCCTGCAAGGCTGTTGCAGACAAAATAGAATAAACTTGGGGGATTATCTTAATTTACTGCCAATTAACATAAAGACTTAATTACTCATTTGGGGAAACAAAGAAGAAAAACATTTAAACACTTGGGAAAATACCTTTCTCAGGCTTGACTTCCCTCCAGTTGCCTCTCCTCTTGTTATTGCTGCGGGTTACACTTGCTCACTTCAGTGAGGTGACGGGCCACAGTAGGTTGTGGTGCAGTGGTTCCTCTCTGCCACTACTTGTTTCTCATTCTTTTCTTCCGCTGCTCCTTCCCCCTCACTCTTTCCCTAAGCCCCAGCAGCTCTCCACAGGCTGCAGTCTCTCTGGGGGCTACCTGCTCTGGTTTGGGCTTCCCACGGGCTGCCAGGCCTTCAGGGGTGTTACCAATTCCATGCATTACCTCCTACTCTTTTGGCCTTGTTCCTTCTCCCTGTCTCAGGTCCCTCTCTCAGCTTTTGCCAACCTTTTTAAAATCTGTTTTCACAGAAGCATCACAGACTCCTCTGGTTGGTTCAGAGCACCACCACCTGGGGTGGGGTCATTGGAGCCACCTGGAAGCAGCCACAGGCTGCTCCAGCCTTGCCTCACACAGGAGCCCCACACCCTGCTACCAACACCTTGCCATGCATGCCCCAAACAGGAGGCATTAATAATTTTCCACTCTGTTCCAGAGTGATAAACTTTAATGCTTTTTCACCTAAGAAATCAAAAATTGAGACCCATTCACCCCCAAGTGGTGAAGATGAGTCTCGTCAGTGTCACGAGCAGAGATGTTCTTAGTGTCTCAGATCTCAAAAAGTGTCTTAGCCTGTGCACTCCCTAAACTTGTGTTTTGGGGGTGGGGGGGAGGGGGGAGGGGGAGAAGTTGGGAAGGGGGAGACAAGACTGGTTTTCTTCTTTTGACTGGGGGTCACTACTGTCAAAAAGAACTCCTCCACCACTGAAGGACAGGGCAGGTAAGGTCCATCATGAAGCAAAGGGAGTGTCTGTTCAATCTTAGGATCTACCTACAAGCAACACAGGTGACAGCAATCATTTTGTTAAGGCTCCTCAGGGTTGTTGAATGATTTTGATTTGCACTTCATTCCTGGAAGGGTGAAGAAAAGTCCTTACCACATGAAAGCACGTACTTTGTAACATATTCCACTCAAGGTCTTTTTGCCAGTTTTAAAGATGCACGTTCTGGTCTTTACCTAGTGTAAACTGCTATAGGTCTACTACAGCCAATGTATCTCCATGGAAAGATGAATTTTGGACTGATGTGTAAGGTAGAGAGCAGGAATAATACTAAAATAAAATTGTTTTAATAGCTCTGATTCTCATCTAAATCCATATGGATTTTTTTTGACATAACTACCCTGATTTCACTGGAGTTGCTACTGTAAGGGGACCTCAGAATCGAGCACCTTGTACTAGCAGGGAGAAGTGGCAGTAGATTGTATGCATTGTAGTGATGGATGTAGGAAACACACACCCATATAGCTTTCAGTCCCAAAGGTAATAAATTTCTCTTGGGAAAGCAATAGGACATGAGGAAAGTATGATTTTTATAAGCCAATAATTACATTTTTATGCAGTTATATTTCCCCAGGGTTGAATTCACATTTATTGGATTACCAAAGTAATACGGAGCAATGTCACACTGTTATGTGATATATTCCAGGTGGCCAAGGATACTGCAGCAGAGTAAACTGTTTGATCATCTTCTTTCCTTGAATCCCTGGGAATTTTCGAAGACTCCAAAGTCAAAGTACCAACTTTCCTATTTACCTCTATTTGAGTGTTTCCTCATTGTGATACCATAAACAGACTGTACAAAACGTTTGCCCTTTCATGAAAGGAAATATCCAAAGTGCCAGAGGTTTGACAGTGAGTCCTTTATGACTTAAAAATGCTCATAGATCTATCACAAAATTCTAGGATGTATGGGATTGGTATTTTTACCTTCTCCCTTTATTTCTTCTGAGGCTTGTGTGAATTGGTTTCAACTTCTGATGCACTCTACATTGTTTTTCTTACTTCAAATCTCTGTCTTATCTAGGTCTGTGGTTTAACCATCAATTTGGAGAATTAAATCCAAGGGAGACATTTTAAAAACTCACAAAATGTCAAACCACTACAGTATTCCAATATCTTTGAAATAGCATCTTTATCTTAGGAGCTGGAAAGCTGAATCACTCAGCAGCACACTCTGTGATGTGTCCATCTTTACAGGATGCTGTAAAGAAATAAACCCGCATCTCTGGAGTGCATAAACCACAACTCTACCCTTACTGTCATTCATTCCCTTGAAATTTAAGTTGCAATCTTCCACAGAATACCACAGATTCAAATTAATTTCTGTATAGATCAGTGGTGGGACTGGAGAAAGGATGGTCTAAAATTGCAAGCAAGACCAAGACTGTGGGCTAATGGAGGAGGAAGATGTGTTCACATGTCTGACTGCTTGCCAATTTTTACTCCATGTTCATCAGTCTAAAAAGAGTTCTATTTACATACAATGGATTTTATATACATCTACATGCAATCCTTGTACTGTTGTAAAAGATCTGTGCTCTGGTTCTCCCCAATGTCCTCTGAAGATCAGAGCCTGCACTGATATGCTCAGAGTCACACAGCAAATCCACAGCACGGTGCCTGGCCACTTTTACTGCATCCATATGTTCATGCAGTACCACAGAAGCACTCCCCTGACACATTTCTTCACCTCAGCTGAGCTTGGTCCCAAGAGTTTGCAGTGCAAGTTGTGCTGACTTAAGGCTAAAGGTGACTTTCAGGTGAGGAACTTCTCTTTACAGAGTCATCACTTTTGTATTTTTATCTGAAAACTCAGTTTAATCTCAAATAATTAGTTTGATCTCATAGCTGTCCATTCAGATGTGATTTTAACATAAGGGCATAAATGTGGTGTAAAGAAAAAGATGATGAACTAATTCTTAACAGCTTGCTAGTTATAAAGACTAATAACACACAGAAATAAAGCTGGTGTTCCTGTAAATTTTGCAATCATGCTACTATACTATTCATAAGCAGAGCATACCATTTGTTCTCTTTTTGGGCTTTGCAGGGATAAGTCACTACACTAAATATATGTGAGGACACAATCAAATCCTCCATGTCAAGAGGAAAGCCTTTTCTCTGTTTTCATTTCTCTGATCAATTGGGATTTCAGATCTTCCAAGGAAAAACAGTTGCTTAAGCAGTTATACGGAAATATCAGCATCAGGAAGGACCTTTCAATTAAAAAAATAAAATAAAATTTGTTTAAGTATTTAGAATATTATTCTCTCTTACACTATTATCTGTCATTCCAAGTTATATATGGTGGCAATGAAAGCAGATTAGCTCTAAAAAGGAAAAGTTGAAGGATAGTGAACACTACAGATTTAAAGACATTTTGTCTATCAGAAAGTCATTTCAGGACTGAAGCCAGCAACAGGGATGTGTGGAGAAGGGAGGCAGGAAAAGGCAAGTGAAGGGAAAGTAAAGGAAGGGGCAGCAGTCATTGGCCATCATGCAAATACTGCAGATGTGGCTTTGCACCTTGGGTGAGAGCCTATGGCAAGAGAGGCAATGGAAGCACAGAACTGTGTGGGTGAAACTGGGCCAGCTGCTCTTTAGACAGAACGGCTGAGGGTGGAGATGCCGTGGGGATCCACCTACCACTGAAGGCTTAAAAGTACCAAGGACCAATGCAAATCCAGAGTGAAACCAGGAGTAGTGTAACTAGCAGTCTGTATGTGTAACAGCATATGTGTAACAGCTGGTGATAAGTCATATGGCGTTGGATTTGTGTAAATATTAGTGCCCCATCACGTGCGAGGATGGTGGGAGAACATCAGCTTGCTTCTTTTGCTACCTGTGCAGTTAGATATTTGGGAATGATGAGAAGCTGACCCAGTAAACATCATTGGTCTGTACTGGCTTGCAGGATGAAACTTGAATGATCAGCATTGTTCTCCAGAAGGCCCTTACAGTGTTGTATGACCTTTGTTTTCTCAAAGAGAAAGTCTAGAGAAGTCTAAAGGATGGCTGTTGGTTTCATCTGACAGCCCAAATGAGTGCATTGTACCAGAGACAGGCAAAGTGAGGGGTGGTCTTCAGGTATTCTTCCTGCTTCTGTTTGCCACTGTCCCTGAAACTCAAATGAGATTGAGTCGTGTATCACAGAAGTTCAAGTTTACACAGGTCTAGTATAAATGAAATGAACGATAGCAGAAAGACAAATTTCCCTGCCACAGTCAGAAATATATGCCATAAAACATGCATGGTAGTTAAGAGATGTTTTCTCTTACTTCCTGTGTTCTACAAGCTGAGAGTGGCCAAAATTACAAACATTATTTTGATTTATTTTTAAGAAGAAAGGTATTGCATTAGATTGTTGGGCTGAAGACCAAAATGGCCTTTCCCAGACATTTGGTAGGCCACTAATTGAGAACATACAAAAATTATATTTGAGGCACATTGGGTGGATCCTGAACATATGAAGCAAACCCACAAGCTGTGGGCTCTGATTTGGGTGGGACAGGGGGGCTTTCTATTTGAAAACTGTCTTTTCCAGTGGTATTTTTAGGAAGGCTGTGCTACAAGAACAGTGTATCATGGAACCATTATCATTCTTCTGGAAAAGCAGGAGCTTTCTGAACCATAGAAAGAAACTATAATTTAAAAGGGCTAAAAGAAGCTGCTGAAGTTCCCAGCTCGTAGGGGAAAAAATCTATTGAGAAAGAGCGCTGCTATTTCATCTACTTCTAAAAGAGATGTGAGCATACCTGCTCCCCCATCCCACATAGGTATAACACCAGTAGCTCTGCTGCAATGACCTTTTAGAGCACAGCTTCTAGACCCTGGCCACCACCTAGGACAGCCTTGGCATCGGGAGGCCGAGAGCGGCCTCCGGGCAGATGCCAAGTCCCACCCGTATCTGATTGAGGCCGAGCAGTGAAGGGCTTTGCTGTACGGACCCCTGGCTGGTACCAGGCTTCCTCGGGGAGAAGTCTGGCCTCAGTTACTGCCTGGCCACTTGGCTGGGTGCACGGCTGAAGACTCATCTTGCTGCCCACAGCAGACTCTGCTCCCTTGGCTCCTGCCTCTGCTGTTGAGGAGCCAGTGCTGCATACCTGCCTGATTCTTTTCCTCTAGGGACATAGATAAAGTGTCCTGCACAGTACCTCATGTCCCATGTGTGCAGACAACGCTGGCCAGCAGAGCAGGGCGTTTCTGTCATCAGGAAAGTGGCTCCAGTGCTTGATGCGGTTCAGCACACAAATTGAGATGCCTCGTGGAGCCTGCAGATCCAAATAAAAAGGAAGCAGCTGAGAAAAGCTGGACGGACTGACTGTTTTGTTTTGTTTTCTCTCTCTCTCTCTCTCTTTTTTTTTTTTTCCTTACTTAATTGATGTTATTAACTTGCTTCTTCAAGAAATCACAGCAAGGATGAGTCATCAGCACAGGGAAATGGTGTGGTAGAGAAAAGTGTCTTCCCTTTGCCTGTGACAGCATGCAGCAAGCCATGGGGACTGTCAGATGGGAGTGAGTGGGGCTGGAGGAGCAAAGGATGCAGGGACCATGGGATGACAGATGAGGAAGACTCTGTCTTTCCAGCAGAGTATTACAGCAGAGGCTAAATGAAGGGAAGTAATGTTCACAGGTTATGGGGCTTTCCCCAGAAAAGGAGTGCAGGGCAAAGGGGGTGGATTTAAAGCAGCCTCCAGCCCACAGTGAAAGGCAGGGAGTGTGTATACGGTGATGGCAGCAGGAGGAGAAAGCATAGGGGGTACCAGACTGTGACAACTCCTCGTGGCACAGCATCCATGTAGCTGAACATGAGCATGCTAAGTGATGTTACAAGTTTCTGCACATTTTTGCTCCATAAGAAGGAGAAAAACACCAACCTGTTATATCAAAATTCTCCACAGTATATCAAGCACAAGGACATTAAACAATAAACACAATTTGACCTTGAAACTGCTACCAGATCCTCTGACTACAGCATCCTCCTGGTGGTTAGCTGAAGTGGGACATGAAGGTCAGCTGAAGTGGGAGCTACGTCTTAAGGATGCTGCGGATACATAACATACTGGTAAGGTGCATCTTATGATCACCGAAGGGCCAATAATAGATGAATATGCTCCTCGTGCCTCAACGATGCTCTGCTGCGTTTCTCATCACTCGATTAAATGACTGCAGTTGCATTCTAAGCTGCAAACCTGGTGTCAGGTTGTAAAAAGTCAGCTGCCTTTGGGGTAAAGGGGAGTGACAGCTTGCATTACTGTCATTATTAGAGCAAGGATACGGGCAGAACTGTAGCCTGAAAGTTAAGCCCTCCCCCATTGCCGTGATAAATCGCCTTGGAGAAAGATAAAACAAATCTTATGAAAGGTTCCTGTAAAACAGTGCTTGTACACAACAGAAGAGGAAAACTGATATAAATCCAGCCTCATGTGCCACACCATGACATCCCCATGAAGGAGTGACCTCAGAATCTCCACATGGGTTGGTGCGGATCTGCGTGCAAAGTGCTCTGTAACATAAACTCTCGTTATGTTTTGTGAGACCTTCTCTTTCGAGCCAGCGAAGTCAAAGCTGAATGAATCATGAACAAAACCTGGAAATTCCCCAAGTATATGCATCATCACCAGGCCCAGCCACAAACCATCTGGATACTGTTGATGATTAACTGTCTCTGGTCAGGAAGCGCTGTCCTCGAGTCAGCTGCAGGTGTACCTTTGATAAGACCTTCTGGCTCTGAAACAGATAATCTTAGGAAAGATGGAGCCAAAACATTGTTTATGGCTATTGCCTCAGGGCAGAACTGACGATGTATGTTTTACAGGTATGAAGGGGGATGGAAGGAGCTGACCACTTTTGGAAAGGGACGATTGTGATTGCTGTCTGTAACTACCTAGAGAAAGGAGAAAAGCCATTTATGCTGGAGTGCAGTGCTGACACGAGGACAAATGGCTGTCTGTCCTCCATAGCTATGCCTAGACCAGGAACTGAAAGAAACCTCACTTTCTGCTCTCCCCACTGGCAGATACTGTGAAGATATGATCTCATCCTCTGGGCAGGGCATTACAGGGTTTGCTGTCCATACCCGCGAGGGGCTGTGCTGCACATCTTGGGCCCTTTGCTACTGATTCTCTGCAGCACGTGAGGACATTGCAGAGCCTACATTTAAAAAGCTGGTGATTGAAAAAATAGCACACAATTCTCAGCTCTTACAGGAACATTGGGGCTTTCTGTGTGGTATGGCCAGATATATGACAGCAAGGCAAACTGGTGTGAAAAGGAGAGAAGCACTAGTTTGAAGCACTGCGTGTATTTGCTTCATTTTGTCCGTGTGCTGCTGAGGTCTTACCAGTACAACAATTTCCTGCTGTTCCCCAGGGATCTACATTTAGAGGAATGGGAATGTGGCTGAGGAAAGTCAAAGAAGGTGTCAGACAGTGACACCCCGAGGCATGAGCAGCATATTGGTTTGCATAACTTCTCATGGGCCAGTTGGACAAATGCCCGTCCTCTCAGACAGATCGTGGCTGCTGGGCCTTGCTCCTCTGGGTGCTTTGAGCAGGGACAAAACCTCCAGCTCCAAATGTCCTGTTAACAGGTAAAGGGCAAACTGTGAATTTAAACCTGGGGAACTTGAGAAAAACAGTTTCTGAGCTAAAACTCTGACTGAAAAAGAAAGGCATTTTCAGCTGTTGTTTCTTGATCTGAAAGAGTCTGGGGTGGTGTTTCCAGGATTATAGGGAGGCTACAAAAACACCCTGGCAGAAAACTGTGCCCATTTTAGGGGAAAGCATTTTTATGAGACAAGACTGGACGGGTTTGTGCTGGGAACACTTCCTGACTGATGAGCAGCAAGTGTGCAGCAAGAGACACCAGTACCGCGACCACAAACTTCTTCCCCATTGTCTCCTGCTGACACACCGAGCTATAAATGTCACCCCTCTGCCTGCTCGCTGTCCTCACCCGCCCACGTGAGAAACAGGCCCCTAACCAACATCACTATTCACCTAGGCACAGGGTCATAAGGAAAACGCTGCCTTGCCCGTCAGCGTCATTGCCCATCCCCGTGACCCTTGCCTAATAACCACATGCACACAGCAAGTGAGGCAGATTAGCTGCGGTGCCTCACCAGAGGCAGCTGGCAGGCTCAGAAGGCTTCAGAAGCAGCGTGTTCTCACAGGAAACTCTATTTTGCTTTCCACAAGGCTGTCTGGACAAAAATAGAATCAACTTATGGCCTCTGATTTTTATTTTTTTTCCCCCACAGCTAGGAGAAGCAGCGGTAGGCTTCCTAGAGGAGCTAGCTGTTTGCATGTGTAGTCTCCAAATGTCACAACTCCTAGCATGAATCAGGGAGAGAGGCTGCTTTTGTAGTTCTTTCCTCTCTTGCCATATGTCTTTGTTAATATTAAGAGGAGACACATTCAGCACATTAGCCTGGAAAAGAGGAGTTCCTAAACTGGATTGCACTGATGTGTGGAGATTCTTTTTAAAAGCTTACATAGCCAGAGAGTTTGATTCAAAGAAAACTGCTGACTTTGAAGACCACTAAATGGGGACCATAAAAGAAGAATTATACAAATTCTTCAAATAAGAATATCCAGTTGTCATCTTTGACTATTAGATAACATTTAAGTGCTTTCCCTCCCTTGTCTCCTCAGTCCATCTAATAAATCTGCCCCCAAAAGGTTTGCGAATTGGTGTGTAAAAAGCAAAACCAACCTCCTGGTGACATAAATCCAAATCTAAATGGATAACAACAATAGAGCTGTAAAAATTTAACACAGAATATTTGTAAAAGCCCAAAAGTTGGGAAAATGTAACCACATACCTAAATCTTTCCTTCAGTAGAGGACAAGCTGGATGCACACTTTGGAGGATGAAAGCTAGGAATTACCTTCAGGCCTTGATATGAGCAATGCTGGTTGAGATGCAGTGCTTAGGGTCTGGAAGACAGTGTTAGGAGGTGCACGTGTCCATGCTGATGTGAGTAGGGCATGTGGAGGCACACAGCTGGAGAGCTGCGGAAACATCTCAATTGTGGAGAAACCCAGGAGCTCCTACCTTCCACTGCAGCACAGCAGTAGGTCTCCATGCAAGTTACACCAGTGGCAGTTGTGATGGTGCAGCATTAATAGCACAGAAGACAGCTGCTGTTCCGAAGGATGTGGTCCTGGACGGGTTTTGCCAGGGGCAGAGTTATTTTTCTTCACAGTAGCTCATATGGTCCCATGTTTTGGGTTGGTGATGAAAACGGTGTTGATAACACACCAATGTTTTAGTTGTTGCTGAACAGTGCTTGCACAGCATCAAGGACTTCAGTGTTTATCAAACCTGCCCTGGCAGTGAGGAGGAGGGTAGGGGTGCACAAGGAGCTGGAGGGGACACAGCCAGGACAGCTGGCCCATGCCATGGGGTGCCATGCTCAGCAATAAATGCTGGCAGAAAAGGAGGAGGGGGCAAGGACTTTTAGAGTGATACTGTTTGTCTTCTCAGGTAGTCCTTACTTGTAATGAGCCCTGCTTTCCTGGAAGTGGCCAGCACCTGCCTGCCGGTGGGAAGCATTGACTGAATGCCTTGTTTTGCTTTGCTTGCGGATGCAGCTTTTGCTTTACCTAGCAAACCGTCCTTATCTCAGCCCACAGGGTTCCCACAGCTCTGCCCAATCCCACTGCGAGGGAGAGAGTGAGCAGCTGAGTGCTGCTGTGCTGCCTGCCAGGGTGAAACCACAGCAGGTCCGTAGGGCCCATCTCCCATAGCGCCAGGTAAAGGAAAGACGTGCTCGTAGGCTCCCTGTAGGGAATCAGGGTGCCCGTGAGCCCAAAAGGCTGGGCTTCCAGTTTTAAGAGTTAATGTAATAGAGCTTATTACCTCTCCCTAACAACCTCATCTTTTATATCCTCAGACTTGTATCTCAGCTAGGAATCATTAGTTACCTCTAAGCACCACAGGCCTAGAACAGTTTAGGCTCTTTCTGCAAAACTTGTTCTTTTTTGGTGCCATCAGTAACATATGCAATTCAGCACGATTTAATTCGCTTTCTCAGTCATCCACTCAGGAAATAAGAACAATAACAAGTGATATATGTGATAAATATGAATTTCCATGTCCTTGAAGTAAATGATGTGTAAAAGTATAGTAAATGGGTGATTATTCTCTCTTTATCAATAATGAAGTCAGGAAAGGGCCCAGGTAGTGCCATCCTGGCCTCTTGTCCCTATTTCTTTAAACTTTCCCTCAAATTCCCTGCATATTCTTTTCTTAAATGAAGACACACGAGATAATGGGACATGCCTGTGTCGATTCCAGTTTACAAATCCCCAAAGAGCAAGATCATGCCTCCCCTCAGACAAAACAAAACAAAACCTTCACTCCATTTTCCTTCCCATATTTCCTCTACTGAAGAGCATTTTCAAAAGTAGAAAGTGCTGAACGAGAAATTGGTGGTGTAAATGCGTTACGAGCATTTCCAGCGGCAGCTTCCTGCATAACGCACAGCCCCAGAAAGCCTGCGTAAAAGAGAGAGCACAGCGAGGATGGCAGCGAGGAGAAGGCTCCCTCATCCTCATCCTTCGCAGCACCACCCTGGGGAAGCTGGGGGGCTGCCGGAGCCGCCCCAGCTGTCCCCCAGTCCCCTCCGGCGGCACAGGGCGGAGGATGCTCGGGAGGGCATTTTTGGAGCACTCTTGCCCCCTGCTGTCAGCCCGCCGGCACACGGCTCGGCGGCTCCCGGCAGCCCGGGGAGAGAGCGGAGTCCCCGAAAGGCCGGCCCTAACCCAAAAAGCAGCAAAAACCCCCTGCGGGAGAAGGGACCGAGCATCCGTAGGCAGTTTGCTTGAGCCCAAACCCCTAAGAATGGCATTAACTGATAAGAAGCAGCTGGCCAAGATGGATGTGCGTGCTGCTCGCTGGCACACACAGCCTGCCGTAAAATTCCTCACAATGCTCTTCAAGATTGGAGGTCTTCGTGGCAGGTAACGACTGCATTCTACAAAAAAAGGTTTCCTGATGTGATGCCGCATCAGGACCCGGTGTGCAGCATCAGGATCATGACTTGCTTTTTAGAAGACGTGTACCTTTGTAAACACCTTGTAAAGGCGATCATTAGGCTCATCTCACCTGTCAAAAAAAAATATCTGAAGTCAGGGAAAGTAAAACAAAAATCTGCTGACATCTTTATTTCCTTATTATAAATGGGAGCATATTTTTACCTTGGATAACAGATGTTCAGAAGCAACTCAGTGCTTCACCCACCCTCGCCTTTGCTGATATGGCTGGCACGTTGAGCGCTGGCCTGCTTTCCACCAGCACCCTGCAGGGCTCCTGCAGCTCCCCACAGGGACCAGCGCTATCGCAGCTGCACAACACAGCGCCGAAGCCCCAGTGTCCCAGGCATTTCTTGGAATCCAAACTGGGGACAGCACATTACACGGCTTTGCTTTTCTAGCCGCGTTTGATTTTTATTTAGGTGGTTCTGCATAGCTGATGTTTTTCCTTACAAACATCTCCCAGAGCAAAACTTTGTTTTCTCCGGACTGCACACCAGACTGCTTTGTGCTCTTTATCAAGCTTTGTATTTGTCTGCCCTTGATGGGAGGTTTGCTTCAAATCTCCAGGAAAAAAAATAAAATCTGGTCTTTAGGAGATTTAGGCTCCTTGTTTCTCTTCCACTCAGCTTTCCAGTCCTCATCAAGTTGTTTATAAACTACTTACCTTGAACTTTAAACACATTTCATCCTCCTCCTCAGGTGGTTTGGTCTGCTCTATTAAAATCACCTGTCCCTGTAAACTTTGCACCTTTCATACCTTGCATCAGTGCTTTGTACAGCTTCACCTTGCTAACATGTTATCCTTTAGCATGAATTTGTCCCCTTGCTACAAACATCCCTTAGTACCCTTCAGCAGGGCAGGCAAGGGAACCTGCATTTGCTTCAAAGTGGTTTTATGACTTCCCTGTCAAAGCAAGCAGAACTTACACGCTGCTCACCTTATAACAAGCATGCTCTTTCCCTCTACACGCCTGTCCTCTCTGAGACCACGCAAAGACTTTATTTGTGCTAACCCCAAATAAGCTAAACTTTGGCAGCAGAGATGGCTTTTCCTGACAGGGAGGCACAGAGGATGCCTGGGGCGATGGGGACTGGAGCTGCAGTGAGCTGTGTTAGTGACTGACCTAGGTGGAGAATTCACAAACATCAGGGCCAGGAACAGCAGAGGAAGGTGGTTAGCTGATGTGCCAAGGTCATTGAACAGCACATCATCTGCATGGTATATGGGCATTGGCGTGGAGGCACTCCCAAGCCTGTAGTGATAGTGCTTTGGTGCTTTCCAAGCTCATCAGCGTGTTCCTCTGCAAATCACCTAATTACCCTGCCTTAATCTTTCCCTACTGATAAATGAGGTTGGTATTGTATGGAAATGATCATTGGAAAGAAAGAATATATACAGTGATCTGTCTAGAATAGAGGCAATGTGTGGAAAAATAGCCTTAGAGATGTGAGGTAGGATTGCCTGCCTCACTGGGAGCTGAAAGGGGTTCAGGGGCACAGCAGACAAGTACTGTCCCTGGTGTCCATACACTTATCATTTGATTTTTTTGTTTTTTTTTTTTTAAGGACAGGGTAGAAGAGGAAAGGGAAGAGCATTAGACTCAACTGAAACAATGCTGAACTTCAGTTGTTCTAAAAAAATAATTAGGGTAAAACCAGAGAAAGTGAACATTGTTATTGACTTGTAATGCAGCTTTCCTGTAAGGCTGAAGGAAAACTGTTCTGCAGCACTCCGGCTTTACAGTTTTTAGTAACTACAGAAGTTTCAAAAGCTGTGGCCATTTCTTCCCCCCCCCCCCCCCCCCCATTTCACAAGTGATCTGTGTGGACTCTGACAACTAAATCTGTTAAGTGTTGAAAAGTTTAGAGTTTAAGTCCAGTTTCGAGTCCACGGTCAGAGCTTTTAGAAAACAGGTGTAAGTGCTAAAAAGATAAACCAAACTGTGCTGAATCACTCCTGAGCAAGCTGATCTTGTCACGTTCCCCTGAAGCTTAGTGAGTCCCTAATGAAGGATGCCTTGCTCGTATTGTGGCCTGGAAACACATCACTCCTGGGGTCCCCCACCTCCCCGAGTGCTACAGGTAACATAGGGTCTCTGCTGGCTTTGACTGTACTGCAAAAAGTGTGAAGACATCAGAGAAGATCAAATGAAGGCAAGGACAGAGGTGCACATGCAGCAGGGGAACAGTCACCTGGAGCGATGGACATCTGTCCTGGTTTCAGTTAGGACAGGGTTGATTTTCCTCCTAGTAGCTGGTAGGGTGCTATGTTTTGGATTAGGATGAGAAGAGTGCTGATAACATGCTGATGTTGTAGTTGTTGCGGAGCAGTGCTTACACCAAGCCAAGGACATTTCAGCATCTCGCTCTGTCCTGCCAGCAGGCAGGCTGGGGGCGCAGCAGAAGCTGGGAGGGGACAGACCCAGGACAACATCCCACAGAGATGCATGTAAGGACTGGGTAGGCAGAAAATTACATTTTAGAGAAATGAGAGCAGCAGCAACAGAAACACTGGTGTCAGATAAAATATGTACAAAGACACTTTCACTGGCAGTATCTTTTCATTGATATGATCCTCAAATACAAGTAAAAAAGGTAATTCCACTAGAGTGCAAAAAGATCAGAGGGACCCTATTAAAGGGGAAATCTCATGGGGAAATTATAGCATCAGTCCTTCAACGCACTGTTAAAATAAGGCAAATATGGAAGGGAGAAAAGCCACAAACATAATGTCCATTAAAAAAGGAAAAGGATTCAGGTACTGGGATGCTTTGTTTCACTTCCTTTGAAACCGTGACAGTCTTTAGTACTGCAGAGAAGCTAGAATAGGCAGAGAGCAAAGACATGACCAGATCAGCTGAGAATAAACCGTAACAATAAGACTTGGTTGCTCTGGAAACTAAGATAAATTGGAAACATGGATGGAAGAACCCAAATGATTCTGATGCTACCAGAGATGAATAGATGAGCTAAGGCAGCAGCTCTGATGCATCAGGTGATTTCCTATCAAAAGCAAACTATCCATCACCAAGCATGGGATGGATGCAGTGAGAGCAGGATGCACCAGCTCACCACAGGCACTGACAGCTGCAGGGGACTAGTAGCTAACGGGCAGGGTTGAAAGGTGAGATTTGAAAAGGGAGATTTAAGTTTTTGATATATGCAAATATTCCTGGATAAATAAAAGCTGTGTGAAAAAAAAAGTGTTGCTTGGGTGTAGTCATTAGTTGTTCTTGATTTATTTTCCCTGCTTCAATGCATCAAACACTTCCCTGGATTGAAACGTTAATCCTTTTTGTCTTGTACCCTCTTTCTGACAGTGGTCAATCCCAGCGAAAAGTGAAAGCAGACCTTGAGAGGACAATGGTGAGAGGATATTACTTCTAAAGGTAAGAAATGGGACCTGGCTACAGAGTGTATCAACACATCTGAAAAAAGTGCCATGGCATCAAAAACTTGCATCAGCAAATAATTGCAGAATCTGTTCTGGATCTTCAGGTGCACAGACAGAGTGGATGGTCTTCCTTTCCTCCTTCCTTAAGTTACTTATTATCCCCTGAGTCAGCCTGTCCAGATACATGACAGACTGATCACTTCAAAACACTGTTAGCAAAGAGACTAAAATAAGTGTGACTGAAAAATCTCAGCTCTCAAATGTAACACTTAAAAAGGTTAATGGACTAGATGCATAATTTTTCATATAAAGAACCAGTTTTGCTTCCAACATGCCTCTTCCTGAAACAACAACAAAAAAACAAACATTCTGTCCACAAATATTGAGATACTTCTTGTGATTATTGAATGAGGTCTTGACAGACCTGAGTAAAACAGAAACGCTGACGAATAGCCAGCTTAAAAGAAGTGTGAACTGCCTGGTACCTCATGAAGAGCTGTCTGGGAGAACAAATAACTGGCAAGAGATGCTATAGTGCTTACTGGGAGCTGCTGCATATGTCCTGAAGGAGTCTTTGCTCATTTTCTAGTGGCATTATTTCCTTGGGAGGAAAAAAAAAAGTTTCTTGTGCCAAAACTAGGACTTGCATTCATTGCCCTAAGTGCCACTGTGTGTTTTGTCTCTGCCTGCAAGCCCTGGGGCATGCTGCTCCTTCCCCAGAAGGCAGCTGTGGTGTTGCTGGCTGCAAGCTGGGTCCCCAAGGTGCAGTCACTCAGATACTCTCACAGGGGAGAATCAAACCTTTGTGCCTGGTCCTATCTGCTTGATGAAACAGGAGCAATGCCTAAAGGACCCGTTAAGGAAGGAACATACAGCAATGCCTGAATGCTCCCTATGTCAGCCAATGTGTCCCATGGAGGTTTGAGCTTTGGGATGTCACCTCTGGAAGGTCCAGTGTCATGGTGGTGAGATGCCAGATGGCCATAATGTGCTACTTTTTCAAGAGGTGGGTATAAGGGTTCCTTTCTATGGGTACATCTGAAAGTTTGGAAGACTCCTCTCCCCATAAAGCAAAAATCTATAAAAGGGCAATATAGGCAATGATTTTTAAGTCGAAAAGAAAAGAAAGTGAATTAAAATCCAAAGGAAAAGTAATAAATGAGTTCAAGATCTTGTAAACTTACAATCCCCTTATTCGTGTTTTTTCCTCTCCCCTCTAACCCTTCTAGAAAAGGCTGCTAGTTCTTGGTGCTCTGCCTCTTCAAAGGAGAAAGGAAAAGAAGAAATTAAGGAGATGGACTGAGGACTACATGTAAATTTGGAAACCAATTCCCATCTCAGCTGTGATGCAGCTAATCAGCCATGACATGTCACTACTGCTAACTCATGCAATGTACTTCATTTGTATGATTCATATGAGTTACCTTATTTACAATTGACATCAACTCTGGAGATGTGTTTCTTCAGCATCTATTTCTCAAAAAAACATTATAGATATTCTTCTTTGCTTTTTTTTTTTTTTGTACAAAACCTCTCATAGCTTGGCAGAACAGCTCCTCAGCTTTTTGCCTTGAAGTATGAAACAGAAAGAGCCCATATCATAATACCTGTAAGCAAAGGAATGTAAGTCCAGCCTAAGCTTTTAAGCATACCTTGCCTTTTGACACAGCCTTTTTTAGTTTGCAGATTGCCCCATTTTAAATGGGCAGTCAATAGCAGGGAAACAGTCTGGAGCTACAGCCTCTCCAGAGCAGGGGGCTCTGCCTAAGCAGTTGTTTATTATTTCATTTTATGCCCACTTTTCATTAAGTGGAACAATAATTTTCATTTTATTGGGATAGCTTAAACATTGCATGCACTTTCATGCAAATATTTACATTGCTAAGTGTAAAATGTCAAGTAGAAACTTGTGTGTTCTCATCATTTCCTTCAGTGAATGTTTTTGATAAAGGGCATATCACTCTCACTGGAGGCAGAACCACTAAAGAACAACCCCCACTATCTTCTTTAATATCTGAAGTCCTTTGCCCTACCTTTACTGGCTAAGGGACCTCCTCTGAGGGATCCTTGAGCCAGCTGAAGCCATTAAGTCAGTTCTGCACTAAAGCCATTAATTCAGATCAGATGTTTGTGATGGCCTCAAAGGTCACAGCAGGTTATCTTGATACAGCACAAGCCATTGGCACAGGCAAGCCATTTTCTTTATACCCTGCAACAGCTTTCCTGTGCTGGTATAAGAAGTCATAGGACTTCTGGTCAGAGGGGAAAAAAAACACAAGGCTTTTCATTCTTCTTTAAGAAGCCATTGTGTGCATCAGGAGGGACCAACCATACATGTATATCTTTAATGATGTAGAAGAGCCTCAGAGGGTAACATTATAATAGAATTAGGGTAGCTCAGTCATGTGTAAGGTTAAAAAAAAAAAAAAAAAGGAGTCTTAATAGCAGTTTTGTATTCCACAGAGAGGAGCTGGAGGTTTCAGATTGACAGGTAGAGTGGCCATGTAAACTAAAGGAAGGAAGAAAAGCCATAGATTGAGGAGCCCTGAGGTAGTGCTCCTCTGTGAGCCATACTATAACTTTTGAAACAGCAAAGAGTTCTCAAGCACAGAACAGTGACTGCAATCAGGCAGCTTCTTCCCAACCCCCAACTACTCCAGTGTGTTGCTATTTTGCTTACCTGGAGTCTCAGACCTCTTCTCTGTTTAAGGATTGGTTCCCTCAAATTTTCCATCACTTCTGTTCTCAAGCACTAACCCATTGTACCCCTATTCTGAAAAGCAAGCCTGTTCCTAATCACTCCTTTTATACCAGCTTCCTTTTTATTGTAGTCACCTGGGACAATCCAGTTGGGCTTCTGCCTTGATGGGGTGGAGTGACTGCATGTTTAACTCATTTCCCTGTCAAGCTTGATAGGCGAGGCCCTCCCCTCAAACCTCTTCCTTGATAAATCTGACTGTTAAAGAAAAAATAATAATAAAATAAGATCTTTAAAATAGTTCTGTTTTAAAGGTCAGCATAGGATTTTGGGGCTGTAAAGTCACAGGCAGATGGACTGACATGGGACTTACTCTCTTTCAAGAAGCATCTGTGAAGACAATGGTGAAAGAAGATGCTTGGATCCAGGCTTTATGGGAATGAGCCCAAGAGGGTCTGTGATGTTTCACGCTGTTGGCACTTGTGTGACCAAGGCTCCAGAAATAGCTTTTGCGTTTCTTTTAAATTTGTGCTGTAAACTACAGAGACTGTTTTAGGAGCAAAAATAGGAAGTCAGTCTGCTCCCTGCTCTTCTGAGTAGTCTCATTCTATCTGCTGGGTTGGAAAGTCACATTTACCTTTGTGCTTTTGTGTTTTTTTTTTTTTTTCTTTCTTTTTTTTTTTTTTTTCTTTTTCTTTTTCTTTATGTCTCCAACCAGGATGCTCTAGGGTACAGACAGGATCCTATTTAACATCACAGTGAAGCAACAAGCTATTTCACATCATTTGTGCATCAGCATAATAACCAGAAAAAGACTACTGTGAGTTCCAAAGAACCTTAAAAGCGTGATTTTTTTAAAAGGTACCTCAACATCTGATGATACAGATCAGAGCCACTTAGCTACATGTTTTAGTACCTCAATGGGTTTTGCCACACTATCCAACACGCAACAGGGAAAAAAAAAGATGCAGTGGAAAAGCCAAAGGCTAGATGCATGCTGCATTTGATAGGTTTTATGACTTTCTGCCCTGCAAGGATATTGTCTATATGTGCTCAGTGATGTATGTAGTTATCTGTTAAGGCTGCCTAGCTCTGTAAGGGCCGGTGTTATGGCTATCTTTGTGGTAGTTCTTGCAGATAATGGGTCTGGCCTTGAAGACACATCCTTCAAGGGTCAATAGAGGCTGTATCACAGATAGCTAGGTCAGTGTTTCAGGCCACCTGGGTGCCTAATGGGCTGGGTGCATGTCTCCTATGGATCTCTTCAGATTTATGCACAGGAACGGTTTCGAATACATTCAGCTACAAAGGTCCACAGCAAACAATGAGGTGAAGTAGAAAGGGATGCAGGTGTGTCTGACACGGTCTCATAGCTTGTAATTCATTAAAATAGAATGGCTCGGAGCAAAAAATGTCCCTGCAAAATCTAGTCTTTATGAGTTTGCCCCACCAGAGGGCCTAACTAGCATGCTGTTTAGATCCATAGAGATAGGCTGTCATTTACAGCAGTAAGAAGCTGCTGATTTCTAAAATTTCTGATCCTCAAAGGCTGCCAACTACATCTACAAATTGTCCTGGCATCCAGAAAAAGCTTTTCAAAAAGCAGCGGAATATCTTCCTCTCAATATCCTCAATTTAAGGGGTCTTGTCACACTGACTAACCTCTATCACCCTTCAGTGCTCTTTGGCAGCCGCTAATTGCCATCAAGGCATGGGAGGGGAGAGAGGAGGAGGTGAGGGCAAAGTCACGGGCAGACACCTGTCCCCAGGGTTCCTCAGAGCACAGGGATACGTGTGGCTGGCTCCTCACCAGCACTGCTCTGCTGGAACTGCTTTGGCATCGTGTCCTGCTTCACACTTGTGTGTGGTGAAAACGATGTTGATGAGTCTCAGCTAGGTATACACAGTGATGGATGATGGGGCAAAGGGGGTTAATTCACCTCCAGACATGGGAAACATCTTCATCCTTCCCCCTGCGATGAATCAGTGCCCCACAAGCATGACAGTGTATGCCAATCCTCTGCTGGATGGTTTAGGAAAGATGCTGTGCTTGGAGACAGAAAGCTCATCCCCACCTGGAGAGCCGTGAAAGCCTTCTGAAGGGATGGCAATGGGTGCTGCCTGGGGTCCGTGGCTCAGTGCCCCAGGGCTTGCTCACAACCAAGCTGAAGTTGCCTTCAAGAGTGTGTTGTAAAAGCAAACCTAAATTGGGTGATTCTAGGAACTGATGAGCCAGCTTGGTGCTTGGATCAGAGATGTGGTCGTTCCATGGGCTCTGGTTCCCTCTCCTCATCCTGAATGGTGCTGTTGTCTGCGGACAGTCCCACTGTGGGGGTAGGGCAAAGGGGCATGTGATGAACTGATCCTTCCTCCAAGTGTCTTATGCTGTCCTGGATTGGGGGATCTGAGGCCACGTGAATTACATGGAACCAGAATCTCAGTTTTAACATCCCTTATGGATGCCTATATTTGCAAATACCAAGCTGATGTAACACATCAGAAGCTGTTTTCTCCAAACAGCTGAACTGTGTGGCCATGACTCACACCTTTGGTAAACACAGGATGTGCATGTAAAATATCTGCATACATATAGCTTTGAAAATTTATGCATCTGTCTTTAAAAGCATCTACAGGAGCTGACTGTCTCAAAGTGCATTTGTAATTGCCTTTTTTTTGGTACAGATTCTTCTTAACCTCTGTGCCCTTAAAACAGAGCAGCACAAGTGGTTTCTGGGACTGTTGTTTTTCCTTGATGGTCCCCAGGGTACGTGTAAGAACCTGTGTGTTATTTTTCCATAAGCTAGTGGCAGACATTAGAGAATTGAATTTAATGTTCAAATGTTCCAGGCATAAATATACTTTACATATCTCAGAGCAAACCTAAATGAAAGGAAGTTCTAAGAAGGCAGATAGACATTTTTCAATTATATGTGACAAATGTGCCATTTCTGATAGCCTTGTCAGTAAAAAGTAAGAGTTGGAAATGCCAAGCTGTTTAGCAAAGCAGGATCAACATTCCTGATACTGCATGGAATCACGAATAGCTTCCACATCTTCCAAAACAATCAGCCTTTATCATTCCTCTGGATGCATTCCTCCAAACTGCATCCTACTAATTGCTTGACACATGTAAATAATAAAGAGGACTGTAAGCATGGTGACTGTGAAGAGAATGTCCAGTTGCTTCCATGTTGTGTTGTTGTTTGTGGAAAAGCTGTTTACAGAATATACAAGCTACAAATCAAAGGAACATGATGTGCTCTTCTTTTATCCAGGCAACTTAGAGTGGAAAAGACAAAATGATGTTTGTGAACTTTATTATTCAAGGTGTTGAGACAACTTGTTGTGGAGAATCTTCTAGAGAGAATTTATAGTATCTGTGAAAGTAAAATATCAAAACATACAGGTTTTCAGAGGTCTAATAGTTATGTTCCTCCTTCAAAATTTTACACTCATCTGGACCTGAAATAAAAGCAGAGGTTGTCTGTTGCAGGTGTGTTAGGATGCATAAAGAAAGACATTGTACACACAGAATTTTCTTCCCATATTTAACTTTCCCTTCAGTGATTTAACATTGCAAATAAAGTCAGCTAAAGATCTTCCACAAGCACAGTCAGTGTTCTCATATAAAAGAACTGAGTGAGAACCAGTGCTATAACAAAGTGTTGTCTCCTAAGAATTAAACAGCAAGAATACTCAGTTAAAGCTTTAAAAGTAACTGATCATTAAAGATTCTTGTTTGCATTTACTTAATTTAACAGCTGGGAAGCTCCATATTCTACAGAAGATGTATACTAAATTCTTCAAAAACGCGTGTGTCAAACTTAGCATCCAGAACTGGAGGCATAAAAAGGGATTAGGCACATTTTAAACTGTGTCCTCAAGCCGTGCCAGATAGCTTATATTTTATTTTCATTGAGAAGTGAAGGAGTTTCTTAAATCATGATTGTTCTTTACTTAGCAAAGCAATGAATACAATAAAGAAATGATAAGAACAATGATAAGAATGATGAATTTCTTCTTCTGTCTCAGATTTCTCACCATCTGGGAGCAGTCATTGGGATGAAGATTCATTGCTGTGGGAGGTTCCAGGATCCTTATGGGGGACCAGGGTCTGCTCCTGAGCTCTGGAGACCTCTCTGCCCAGCTGTGATTGGGCTTGATCCTAGGCCAGTGACATCTCTGCTGAAGAGAAAAGTACAGGAGTATCTTTGATAGTGTCTTCTTCCTCTTGCCAAATGCTTCCTGTTTCTTTGTGTGAAAGTACAGAATGCCACCTCAACACCTTTGTTTCTTGCTGGCTTACTAATCTGTAGATGAAAAAGAGAAAAAGACTGCTGCAACTGAATACAATTATAAAGATGAATGGTGTTGCATCTGGGAGAGACAGGGCACACATTCGTTAGTATCTACATTAACAAAATACATCTATTTCCTAGCTTACCAGCCACAAACTGTGCATTCTACTTACACTGACTTGCAAAGACTCCCAGCAGATTACTTCTGCTGAAAGTCCCTACTCCAAACATGCTTAATATGCACCATAGCACACCATCTGACTAGGGTGTTAGGAAGAGTAGTTTTGTGTATACAGTGTCTGTAATGATGGCTTCATTTAATAATAATAATAAAAAAAAGTGCTTAGAGATATCTTTTAGGTTTTGAACAATAAAAAAGTCTTGCTTCTGATGAGAGCCTTCACATATGGATCTTGAGTGTCTTACAAATATCAAATTTCACAACCTTCTGTAGAACCTTTCTTTGTAGAAAGGAAGCAGAGAAGTGGGAAAGTTGTGTGGCAAGCTGGTAACAGAAGGAAGAGCCAGGGGTTCAGGAGGCCTGGCAGTTCAGTTGTATGCAGGACAATGTGCCCATCATACCCAAAATGAATACTGTAAGTAAGAGCACCTTTCCCAGTGTCATTTTGCCCCTGAAGTACATCACTTTGTACTAGACTCATTGGAAGCTGTAGCAAAGCTCCTGCTAACTTCTGCACATCACAGACAGGTCTTTGGAAAGTTTGTGGGGGGTACCTACACCTCATGAAGTTGTGTCCTGCTGGTGAGCATACCCAACACTTCCCTATGAACCCACCACTCTTTCTAGCCCAACTAACCTTCCTGTTTCTCCTTGTAACCACTGGGATGGCCCTCCAGCCTCCCAGCTCCCTGCCAGCTCACTAAGTTCAGGTAGGCCTTGGCATGCCAGGTGCGTTAGTGGGTAACAACACAGTCCTGAAAAATCATTG